AATCCTTGGAGTTGCCGCATGCACTCAGAGTCGAGAAATCGTTGCACACGGCGTGCCATTCATTGGCATTCGTAAATCGCTTACCCAAACTGCAACCTTAATCACATGTGCCCAGCAATTTGGTTGCCAGCCTGCCATAAACAACAATTTGGCAACCGATCCTGAGCCAAGAATGCAAACTTTGCCCTTCCATTACTCCGTCTATGCCCCCCACACCTCCCACTCCTATTCTTTGTGTGTTGCCACTCAATTTACCTGCCTTGGGGCATTTTGCAACTGAAGCATTCTAACCTAACATTTTGGGACAACTTTGAGGGGCATTGGCAATTAAGCAGCAAATGCATCGATTTCATATTTGATGAGCCTCTCAATAGCCTCCTGCTTAGCTAATTAACATAATGCTCAACGTGGACCAATGCCATATGTTTGCTGGTTAATTAAATTTGTCTTCAATCAGGCTGGTTTTAGCTTTTAGCTGCAACGCAAATGCATTGTAATTGGGCTTACAATTCCTAAATTATTAATGTGGCTCCAATGGGGGACCATGGCAAAAGTTTCCAAGTTTCATTTGCTTCCAATCGATGTGAAAATTTCACAGTTGCACAATTCGCCCTTTTAAAGTCAACAGTCAACAAATTTGTCTTACAAACCGATTTCTCTTCTTTTTTTTTTTGGGTCAATGTCAGCGACTGGTGTGATAACAATTTATGTGTGGGTCGTGGGCTTATAGCCTGGCCAAAAGCCGCCACACTTGTAGGCCAACCCTTATTTTTGTTAGCCATGTTCCTTTTCTGAACTTTGCTTTTTGGTCTATTTGCTCTTTTGGGCTGCAACGAAAATAGTTATCATCTGCAGAGTTGGGGCAATGTAGAAATGGTTTTGGCCACATCCCGTAGAACTGGTAAATGCCTCCTAATCTGGCATGGGAACGTGTTAAAAAATTGTAAGAGTTGTGGCAGTAAAGGATACAAGGAGCAGGCCGGAAGAAACTGATGGAGAGTTGGTGTGGGGGATGCCCAATCATTTTGTGGCGGAAAAACATGGAATAAGAAATTTCAGGCAACATTTTTCTGAAAATCCCAGGAAGATTTTCATTTGATTTAAGTATGATGATAGAAATATGATTAATATTAGAAAACTCAGTTACCCACCTACCTAACCCCTGACTGCATTCCTAAGTAAAATTCTAGGTACACCCTTGAGAGGTTAAACAAATTTATTATTGTATAAGATGAGAAATCTATTCAATAATAAGATACATTATTTATCTTGTCAGTGCAATTCATGTATTGCATTATATATTTTATTATATTATTTTATTTTATATTATATTTTGACAAATTTGCTGTAATTTTGATTTAATTAAAATCTTTAAAGAAATAAATTTCTTAATTGAGTGTGTAGGATGACGAGTATATTTTTGAATCAGCAAGCAAGTTGATTAAATGGCTAAAATAGAACAACTAATCTAAATTCGCATCACGAAATTCATTGAAAAAATGCATAGTGAGAGTAAGCGAGTTGGAGATAGAGTAAGCGAGAAAGATAGTTTAAATGATGGATACTTTTTATTTTCAGTCATATACTTGGTAAAACTAGGAACATCTTGACCAAATACATTCCGATCAAAGCTCTCAAATATTGACACACGAATCCTTTAGCGCTTAACCAAACACAGTTGTCCGGACACCGCACGACATACAAATAGTGACACCCCCGTTTCAGTCATAAAATAATACTGCGGGCCATTGCAGGCAAACAGCATAAAGGTCTTAAAAATAATTCTTGACCGCTTGACCTAAATTTGACAAGTTATATTTTCCCTTCTCAGTCACAGGCGCCAGATCAAGCCAAGTCCGTCCGTGCGGCCATCAAATGTCAACAGTGCCCGAGAAATTGTACAAGAGAAGTGTTTTAAAAATTACAACACGTACGCAATTTTGGCCTGATGCGCATAAAATAGGCATAAAATACGGGGCGTGGCCCCACAACCAATGCCAGCTAATGGAGACGAACTTCAGCAAGGGTTATCAATCCGCACACAGCCTCGAATTCAGCTCATTTGATTTCTGGCCAGCTACTTGGCCAAACAAGCTGCGCACAGCGCCCGCGGCAAGGTGTTAAAATTGATTTGAGCTCCGATAAACTTCTTGGATAACTTCTGTCAGCTGAAGGGCTGCCCGATTTATGCTACCTGGCATTAAATTATGGGCTGGGCCAGCGGACCAAAATCACCCCCTTTTTTTGGCAGAGTGTGCACGTACAACGTTTTAGCACACTATTTAAGCAGTGTTGAGCAGATCCACGCGACGACTGCAGAATGAGTCAATTTGGCGTCATTGACAGACGGTGGCAACAATAACACACAACAAGATAAGGGACAACAAAGCAGAGTGGTGGCTAATAGACCATAGTGTAAGTGGATATGTTAAAGAGCAAAACCCAATTGCTTCTTTGCTATAAAAAAAGAAAGAAAAACAGCAAAGTAATTACTTTTTGCTATTTAACATATGCACTTATACTAAAATTGTTTTTTTTTTGGTTTATAACAATAGTCATTTATTGCAAAATAAGCCCCACGAACAGGTTACTATATGAACTCAACAGTTGAAAAAGAACTGAAATTTGTTAGTCAACAGCAATAAAATATTTGACGAAGGACATGACAGTCTTAAGTCTATGCTAGGTTTGTAAGAATTGAGAAATATTTACGATGAATAATTTTTAATTTAATTTAAGGAGAATCGAACTTGGAACCAATCGTTTGCAATGTATTTGAAATATTTTCTCTGATTCTCCTGATTACTTAGCAAGTAGTTGAGAACAATTTAAATATTACTTAATGAAAATGTTGTTTTTATTTGAAGTCACTTGACAATATTATTTGTGTATGATTTTGTAAAGGATATTCACCTTTGAATAAATTCAACTAATGTAAAATGTTTGTTTTTAAATGTATTAATTTTTCTGTCTATTTATATTTTTACTTTTACTTTGCTTTAGTCTCACCTTTTATTTAGTCACTCTTTATTATTTAATAAATTCCATTTCAATGATGAATAAAAGTGCGAATTAACAACTATCAACTATCTTAGCAGAAAAATTGCTAATAAGCTAATGCTTTAAGCTGAACGTATAACAACATGAACAAAAATACTAGCACAATGCCAACATTAGCAATGAAACATTGAAGTTGCCTGCAACTGCTGCTGCCACGCCTACTTGCCTCACAGCCAGACAGCTGTGTCACGTACTCCCCAGAAGGGGGAGAGAGTTGGATGGCAGAAGACTTCCCCGCTTGGTTAGGCAGACAATAACTATAATTGTCGCATCAGCGTTTTTGCTGCTGTCGGCCTCCTAAAAGTATGCAGTAAAACGGCGAGTCATTTGAGGAGATGGCTCCAAGAGTGGGAAAACTCACTGTGGTTGGAGGAGGGGTGACGGGTGGCGGACAGCAGTGAGCAACGAGCAGTGGAATTCCATTAAGCAGCAGACAGGGAAACGCTGCAGCGAAACAAGTGGCACGCATAGGCGGCAATTCCTTTTGTAGGTCTGTGGAGTGTTCTCGCATGTGTGTCTCTCTGTGTGTGTGTTTGTGTGTGAGTGTGGGAGGAAGGGAGGGGGGTATATAAAAAAATTCTTAAATTAAAGTCAATTTGACGACTCGACTCGTTGGGTGTGTTGAATGCGACTTGGGGCTTGGCTGAAGTTAAATTTAATGTTGATTAGGAAAATTGAAGTGATAATGTGTTGAGTCTGAGTCTGAGCTGAGCTGAGCTGCATATCGGAAAAGCAACATTGTGCTTAAAGCTGAAAACCCATTTCAAAACCTGATGTAATGTTGGCCAAAAGTACAAGAAGCTTAAATTAAATACAAGTTAATAATGAAATTACTTTAAACATGGTCATTTGTGTTACATCCATAATTATTACAGCTTGTTCGCTGCGTGGCGAATCCCAATAGATGCTAATTTGGGTCATTTTATAATTGTAAATATTTATTGATTTTTGCTCAACTTTGTGCGTTGTTTTCCCCCAGTCAATTAAATTACAAAAATCGAGTTTGAGCTAGTGAAGGAAAAAGCTTGTAAGGATGCTGAAGGCGAAAGCATCCCATTATTATTACTATTATAATAAATGCTATTTTTAATGATGTGCTTAACTATTCATATTTTATATTTGTTTTTCTATTAATTTTTATTTTAAAATTTTATTATTAAATTTTATTATTTATTGCTTTGACACGCACTAAATATGTGGCTTTAAGCTAAGGCATTTATTTAAGAAATTCGCGGATAAATTGAAGTTATCCCATAAAACTATTATGCAGCAGTTGAAGAATTGCATGGGCAACAGCTCATCAGGTGTTTTCCTTATCTACTGAAAATTAAGCGAATAAAACTTTTCCAGAGAATAAGCAAACCACAAAAGATATTCGTTGATGAACTAATTAATCAATAACTTGCGGTTTTTCCCATCCATTCAACTATGCAATATTTACAAAATTGGTTTCGCAATTAAATTGACTGTGGTTTTGGCTATGGTCAGTTCAAGAAATTTATGTACACAGTCTGCTGCTGGTTTTGCCTTAGCAATTGTTGAACATGGTTGTAAACAGCTCAGTTTCCGATATCCACATTAATTAACTGAAAAGCAAAGCAGATATTTCCGAGACATTTTGTGTAATTTGTAAGCAACATTTGCTTGGGCACTTCAGTTCCCTCCTTTCCCCCATTCTGTAGAGCTACAGGGCAGCATTTACGTTACGAGAACATTTTAATCTAATTTAACACACTTTAGATTTATATTTGCTTAAATAGAAGTTATCTAAGTGGCACGTGCCGGGCATACCCAATATGACCAAGCACAACAATAGACATTCCCAACCGAGTTCCGTGTTCGAATGACACTGGGTAGTGGGGGGGAAATGGGGAAAAATTGTGAACCCAGACACATTTTTATTATAGTTTATTTTTTGCTTTTGAGCAATTTGGCTCGAATGCGAAAATGCACTTCCGAATACGTTGGCCAATCGAATTGCGGACAACGCTTAAGACGTTTATTGGCCACAAAGCTAAATGCAATCAATTTTACAGTTGCCCGCCAACAAAGACTAACATTATACTAACCCCATAAACAACTCAACCATAAATGCGTCTCAGCAGCGTGAAGAACGAGTAAATTACGTTCAGGAGCGACTGCAGCATCTTCAGGTTCATCGGATAGACGCCGCCAACCAGTATCTGCAACAGACAACAATATTTGACACATGAATCATCAATATGTAGAAATTGCATTAGATTGCAGCTACACTTACAAAAAAACTGCCTGAATTGTAGAAAATCGCCGTGAGTAACTCACATTATTATTCAAAAAGTATATTTCTAAAACAGAAGGTCCTTACAAAAGCAGGATTTCTCATGTCATAATTCCAAGGAACATTTTTGTAAAAATTTTTCTTTACGTGAGAACTAATTTCATTACGAGTTTCTGAATTTCAAAAATGATATTTCCTATTATATATTATTTTCTATTATTAAAAAATATATATCTGAAAAATAGAAAAAGCCTTGCAAATTTTTACCCCTATTTTCGTATATTTCTAGGTTAATTCTAAAGTCAAGAAAAACTTTATACTTATCATGGCTAGGGCAATTTCCATTTTAAACAATTTTTTTCTGAGTGTAGTAGCAAGAATTTCCTTACCGCCAGTGGTTTCTGTGAGCGCATGATGAGTAATTTTAAAGTCTTCTGTGAATCGATGTCCAAGTCCATCCAATTGCTCTCGTAGGCAGCAATTGATATGTGGAAACTCTGTGCAAAGTAGTTCTTAATTCAAATTATTTACTTGTAGCTCGACTTACCTGGAAATAGAGCTCATTGGCCACGTAGTAGAGCACGAAGCTGTTGGCAAATATCATGACAATATAGAAAACTACAATGATAACCTGGGCGATTGTTTGAGCCTGCAAGAGGAATTCGGATGATTAAAAATGTTGAGAATAGAATAGACTTTTAAAAAAGGATACAAACAAGTTTTTAAGCTCTAGCCCCAAAGTTATAAGAGATGGCATTGGGCACACATGACCAATCTTGGGAGGAAGTTACTAATATAATACAAATTTGGAAGATTGCTGGTGACTTCCTTTAGGAGTCTGCTAGCCAATGTCTCAAAATTGGGGCGTACAAAAAAATAATATTTTGAACACCGAACAAAAATTGAGATGGTAGCAAATTAACTCCCGTCTGCAATCGATGTAATTAATGTAATATTTGTCGTGGCTAACTTTGTTTCTGAAATGAAATGCAATAATAACAAGAGAATGATTGTAACTTACAATAATCAACGAGAAAAGCAGCACACAAAGCATCGCCCCGAAGCACAGAAACTCCACCAGATGCAAATTGGTCATCAGCGCATTCATCGCATCGACCAGCCTGTTTGGAAGATGTAAACACAGTTAGAACATTGTTAATTTTAGTATTGCTGGTAAGTAGCTTACCCCTCCAGCTTGATTTGATATCGTATACACCAAATAATTTCATCGTGCACCAGTGTGCCACGAAGTCGTTGCATGGAGCTCAGCTTGTGCTGCAGCACGCGACACATGAGGATGGCAAACAGTGTGAAGGTGACCATCATACTGGTGTAGGGTATGTACATGCAGCAGCCCATCGGCGCCATTATGGCTTGCACCGCAAAGAAGACCTCATAGTAGGGGCTGGCGTATTTGTCAATGCCGGGCACATACATGCCATAGGGCAGCACTGCAAACACAAACACAAACACAAACACAAATACAAATACAAACACAAATGTGTATTTGTGTAAATGGGATTTGGATTAGTTCACCCACCGCGCTCCGACCCAAAAATCGGATATGTCACAAAACCAATGCAGGTGCAAGTGCCCATTAGCAAATTAATGCGGCCAATGGAGATGGAAAGTCGCGTGGTTTCAGACACAAGTTGGCCAATGTGTTCATCCGTAGAATTCTGTAAATAATTCATTATTCTTAAATTACTTATACTAATATACTAATAATAAAGCAGTTGGCCTACACTTGGAAAAAAAGCTGCCTGAAAAATGGGAAATAATGAAAAATATTTCAAAGAAGTGGAAACGCAATCCTTATATTAATTGAAAATTATTGCTGGAATATAAATATATAATATAATAATAACAAATATATATATTCCAAATGAAAAGGGGAGTTTTCTTGACGCCAAAAGTATGGCGATTTTGATATTCACTCTCAGTGTGTTCTCGTATAACTTTTACAGATCAAATTTATATCATTTAATTGATATCCTCCCCTAATTATGGGAAAACCAACAGATTCAAAGACATAGGTGAATATTGTGTGTGAATGCAATTTTACGATTTATATTTCTTGGTTCAGGTTATCTACCAATCGAGCTCTGAAAACTAAACAATAATTTTACGATATGATTGTATTGATTGATTATAATGAAATAAAAGTAAAATTAGTATTAAAGTAAAATTAATACATTTTGATCGGCATCAAGCGACTTTTTATTATGCTCACCAAAAGCTGCAGATAGTAAACCTTGAGTAGCTCCAGAAATTGCTCGTACCGCTTGCGATGCACGCAGAGGAGGATACCCCTCACAATTGTATTGGTGAAGAGCACCGCCAGGTACACGTTGCGTATTATGAAGTCGAGAGGTTCCGTGCTCAGATAGATGTCCACGTACTGAGGGACATTGATGAGGGCATAGGGCAAGAGGGCCACATAGCGTCGCCAATTGTGAACGAACAGATATGACCAGAACCTCATCAGCTTCAGTGTGCTGCCAAAGATGGGCATATCCACCGTGGACATAGTCTGGAGCTTCATGTTGAGTCGGAGCCGTTGCCAGAACTTTGAACCTCATGGCTGTAGTTCAAGCCACTTTTATAGACTCGACGATAAATTTCAAATGTGTGGTTTGGGTTGTATTATTAACGTCGAATTAATGGGTGTCATATTGATTGTGTGTGTGGGCGTGTGTTAATTACCCAGCCAACGCCTAATTAAAGGTGTTAAGGGCTTAATTTTATGTGACTGTTGCCTGGGGTTGCTTCTAGTTCAATTTCATTTGCCACGCAAGGGTTGTCTTGGTTTCGAGCCTTTGGCACAATGTGTTAATTGCCCATTTGATCTATAAGAAAATACTTCTTTCTTTATTTTAAAAATTGACTCTCCTGTGCTGAGAGCTTTATTTTTTTGTTACTGATTCCTGCTCACTTTTGAAGCATCACATCTAAAGTTTGTTGAGCATGTAAATACAAAATCGGCTGAATTTTGATAGAATACTTGAAGCAGTCTGTTACATTAGTTAATTGCCTGATTTCACTATGCCAAACATTTCTTACATTTAAATTCTTTTTCATTCATTCATTCAACATTCGTAACGTATGTTAAGAAAATACATATACATAAATATTTCTGCAAAGAACACCTCGACGAGGCAGACAATACCGTAGAATATACATATACATATATATAATATTATCTGACTATATAATATATATATGAATATGGTTCAGTAGATGATCACCGGCTGGATGCGGACGAGTTCTCATGTGCTTAATTCCCGTTAAGAAGACTTTAATTAACTATTTCATTTGTTGGCATAGCTAATATGTAAGCAATTTTATTTATTCCTTATTTTATTTACTTTTTTTTATGTTGTTTAGTTCACTGTACAAAATATAATTGCAATATTACCATTCATATCGTTCAGACAATTTGAGTCAAAGGCATAGCTGACATTTTTCCTTCTCGATATTAAGAACTCCTGTAGTATAAATAAGATATTAAAATATCTTGTATATTGTATAATTTACAAATATATCTACTTAGATATATAACATAACGGTCAGTGGCAAAATTACGGCTTTATTTAAATACATCGGCTTGAAATATGAGACACAAATTGAAAAATGAAAAGGATTTCATTTATATTTTGCTTTTATCATAATAATAATTATAATTGGGGTACGTGCACTGGGACCTCTTAGATCTATTGTGCCCCCTTCTGAGCCTATAGCTCCTCCATCAACCCCAGGTCTTGCATAAATGTTGGGATATTTGTTGGGGTTGAGGGCTACTATGTCTTTGAAGCTCATAACATGCCTCCCCAGGATGCTGCATCATTTCATAGTTAAGGCAACACACTCCGCTAGGATCATAGTTAAGGCAACACACTCCGCTAGGATGTGCATTGAGGATTCTTCCTCGGTTGCACAAAGTCTGCATAGTTCGTTGCTACAAATACCTTGTTTAAGTGTTCTTAGTCTACAGTGTCCCGTCCTGCTTTTATTATTACATTATTATAAATTAAAAAATTAAATTTAATCAATTAAATTATAATTTTTTCTTTTTGTCTTTCAATATCAGCTGTTTGTTAAATTGATGCTGCCATTTCATAATATCGATAGGTAATTCGATGAATGATCGCAAAAAATTACGACAAACTCGTGGCGAATTTACAGAATGTTGTCTCTTAAGAAAAATATGAGACGTACAGCAACAACTTTACATTCGTAGTATTTCGAGAAAATAAAAATGTTGGAATTAGGCTATAAGAAATTTTGATACTGGGATCAGGCTATAACAGGTGTGCAATCTTTGAAGAGAATGTTTGACAGCCAAAGTAACAGAGTTATAATTGCCACAGGAAAGCTTCTCCTCAATTCTTGCACAACAATCTAATTACTCAACTTACCTGAAAAGGCAACTGTTTCATGTAAACTGTATATAGATTTAAAATGATATGTAGTTAAAAGAAAATTGATACACATACATTTTAAATTCGCGCCGGGTCGAGCTTTTTAATTTATATTTTCTGTTCGTATTCCGGTCGACCTCAATAACATGGCATATCTTTACTTTTAAAATACACTTTTAATAAAAATGTAATTTTAACTGCACAATAATTCATTTTCAATTCACTGTTATTACAGTTGCAGACTGTGAGGAAACCAGGTCACCACATAAATTTTAGCGCTGTTTTTTGGCAAAAAATTGCGACAAAGCAGCTTTGTTATTGGAGTGTGGCAAATATTTGCCGGCTGTCAACTGCAAACGGCGATCTGCTGGTTTGTGGCCAAATGCGACTATCCGAATTGTAAACGTTGCCAAGAAGAGGTTTGAATGAGCCTTTAAAGAGGTTTTGAACACGACCTGGGCCAATCACCAGTGCTCAGTGGTCAGTGGACATAAATTGCAGCCAAACTAACGCAAAACTATGAAACTGTGCGTGCAAGTTGAGCAGACACTGCACTTGACCTCTTTGGCTCTATGATTGCGGTCTCGACATTTGCAATAAACGTCGGCAAACTTTTAATTGCACCACGCAAAGCCCAACATAAACAATAATGGGTGTGGCATGTGTGCCTTGTCTTCCTGTTTGTTTGGCTCGAAATTGAAAATGTTGCCAGCCAAAAAAGTTGTGCAACCAAAAGTTTTGCCCATATGCAGATGTATGAGAAACACTCGTGTTGATTTGTTGTTCCTTGCCTGGCCAGCCGAATTGGGGGACGCTGCTTGGTCCTGTTGTCGATAACGCTGCTTGGTCCTGTGTACTCCTGTGTACTCCTGTGCGCCAAATTAAATGCATAATTACTTGATAATTGGATTTGCGGTCGGCTCAACTGGCTGTGCAACATTTTCTAATTAAAATGTTTAGTGGCTGGCGAGGCCGAGCGCCACTCCCCAATTGCCACTTGATGGCGCTAAGCCTCAGGCACGTACTCCACAACACGACCAAGTGGCTGCAGACCGCCCACTGGGAGACCACCCAAGTGAGCTGCCTCCCATATTGTTTTAATACCCTTGAACAGAGTGTTATAACTTTGATGATTTGCTAGGTGCGTGGAGCAGAGGGGGTAGACAAATACGCTGCCTAAGCCTACCTCAAGCCGGCAAACATCTTCATACATAATAAAAGCCAAACCTTGAATATTAAAGCGTAATAAGTTATCTAAATCAGTGCTAAACTGCCTAAAGCCGCTAATCCAACAAAGAAAGGTTGTGAAATGCCGCATTTCATCATCATTTCAATGCCAGGACGAGATGGGACATAAGAATGAAAGACATATTCATGTTCATTCTTTAAATTATAGAAAACTGTCTTATAAAATTTAACAATTTAAAATTTTAATTATCATTATTTAAAGTTTATATAATAAAATCATTTCAAAGTACTTTCAAAATGAAGTGTCTAATCTCACTTTACTTAAGAAGTAATAGTCTGGAATCAGTCAAGATTTCTTACACCATTGAATGTTTATATATAATTTAAATTATGTTTCCTGTAAATTTTTCCATAAGGGACAACATTCTGTTCATTCAACATTCGTTAAGTATGTTGAGAAAAGATATATAGAAAAATAATAATATAATTATTTAAATTATTTATTGCAATTTATTATATTTTAGGGCTAAAGGTAAAATAAAAATTAAATAATTTAATTTAATTTAATTTATTGCCTGTCTTATATTTGTATTAAATATTTTATTTTTCATTTCGCAAAGACAAATGAAAATTTAAATTTGTTTTCCTACTCTTTTGCAGAAGTGTAATTTAATGATGCAGAAAAAATACGTTGTTGATAAACCACCGAGTCGAAAACTCTTTAACAATTTAGTTATATATAAACTCAATTTAAATTCGTATTGGCCAGAATGGTTTTAAATTAGCCCTAAGCATATCGTTTCTTTAGTAGGTAGATTCGTGTATACTTTTTCTAGCAGTCAAAACTAAATTGTATTTATTTTTCAAACACATCTGCTTGCTTTACTTGATTCACAACGATTGATGTCGTCATCTTCTTCTAGTTGACGATCACACAATTTATATCGATCGATATCGATATCAAAGTTATACATCGCTTGTAGCGTGTTATCGACATTTACAATTGACCTGCTGCAATAAAGTAAACTTCGATAATTTAAAATTCCTTACTTCTTTTTTTTATTTTGCTTAAAGCATCTTTAATCAATGTACAAAGTTTAGTTTAAAACTATCTCAGAATTGACTGCCAGAAATTTGGTATATTGTCGCTTTCTCTCACATCTATTCCTTACTCTGACTTATAAGCAAGCTCTTGGAATTATTTTCATTTTCCTTGGCGGGTCTGTTTAGGCGTGCCTCCCTAAATAAGTAATAAACACCTTTTCTGGTCTGGGACGTGGTCTGCCCACGTTTCGTTGTAATAAATTTCCATTTTGTTGTTGTTGTGGGCGTGGCAGCGCACTCGATTGGGCTAGGGGCAGGGGGTGGTGCGGCGGTAAATCTCAGTTGGGGTACATAGTTTGGCGCCTTTTAAATTTTCATAAGCAGCGTCGCATTCGTAATACAAACGGAATTTATTGCATACACTCAGGCGGCAATGCCTCCTAACTTATTCATATGAAATTGCCTGATTACCGCCCACCCGCTGCGACCTCTCTCTCTCTCTCTATATATATATATATCCCTACCTCTGTCTGTTATTTTTTTCAGTCTCCGTATTTGGTATTGGAACGTGTTTGAATTATATGCCGGTCATGGCTTGGCAGTTGAGATTGGTAGACCTTTGCAATGTAATGCGCCTTTTAGTATGGCAATCGCTGCGCTGGGCCGCATTTTTTATGAACTGTTGGTGTGTGGGGGCCACGACTTTTATGATTTGTATTTTTGGGCTTCAACAGGAAATTGTACAGCACTCCAGTCTGTCTGTGAGTGTGAAAGTGAGTGTGAATGTGACTGTGAGTGTGAGTGTGAGTATGAGTGCCAAATGCCAACTCACAAGTGTGTAGTTTAGAGTCACTGAGGTCATTGAATTAAGCAAATGGTCAGGAAATGCGGC